GTTTGCCGGGCAGCCCCCAGACCCTGCGCCCCCAGCCAGCGCTTCCCCAGCGCAGCTGGAGCCCCAGGAGGGGAAGTGCCCAGCCGGGGGCGCAGGGTCTGGAGGCTGCCCGGCAAACCGTGAAGCCGGTAGCGCTTGGGCTTCGGGCAGCCCCCTTGCCTCCAGATCCTGCGCCCCCAGCCGGGCACTTCCCCTCCCAGGCTCCGGTGGCGCAGGGTCCGGAGGCATGGGGGCTGCCCAAAGCCCGTAGCGCTCGGCTCTTAAACAGGCTCTGCTCCTCCCCTGACTCTTCGGCTCTGTTTAAGAGCTGAGCTGCCCGAGTGCTATGATACCTCCCCCACCCTTCCATCACATACACACACACAGAGTAAAGTTCATGGAACTCATTTTATCTGTCTTGGAAGAATAAAGGGCTGACACAGTCCTGCTGAGAGTTGAGCCAGTAGTTCTGTGTAGCTTAGGGGTTTACATGTTAACCTCTCACCTTCATCTGAGGGCCTGTACCCAACAGTGTTCCAGATTTAAGAAGCAGCCTTAAACAGACGGCACATTTGAGTGCTGCTGGTAATGGTCCGGGTGGGCTGGAAGCAGTCCAAAGTAGAAATAATAAAAACAAAAACCTGCCCTGCTCCTCTCTGAGGTTTCAGGCTGGATGGGGGGATGACCAATTTTTCCTCTAATTGGAAACCAATCTTTTAGAAAACAAGTTTGGGCTCCCATACTAATCTCTCACCTCATGACAGCTGTTCATTAACTTGTATTTGTAGAGCTTAGGGTCAGGGTATTTGTGTATATAAGCTAAGCTTCCTTATCTTTCTGTTATGGAATACCTTTCAGAAAGGCAGGATTGTGTTAGCACAGCACTTTGCATTTTGTCAGCTTTCTTCTGAACTTCCACACACAGTTCTTACAATGCAAGAAAGATAGTCTATCTTGCCTTAATATATACTAGCAAAAGCCTCTGTAAATCATTAGCTTTAAAATAGTTTGCTTAAAATTAACCCCCTCTATAGAAAAATAGTGTGAATGTACTTCTAATCAAATTTTGTGAAACATTTAAAAATGTGGAATGTTAAATTCCAAAAAAATTGGAAGTTAGGAAACTTCCATTCAATATTAATTTACAAAAAATTGGGATTAGCATTATTAAAATATCTATTAAAATTGTAGCTTTGATCCTCAGGACTCTTTATTTGATTGTGATTCAGGGGAAAGCTGACAGGAGGTTTTAAGCTTTATTGTGATAAGTCAAAAGTGGAGTTGAACAAATAATTCAAATAGTTTATCTGAGCTTCTGGCTTCTCTTTCTGTGGGGTACATAAATCATGATTTTGTTACTTAAAAAAATTGATTCATCACATTCTTCTGTGAATTTTATTAACTGTTGGGTGATCGCCAACAGCCCTCTGAAAGTTTTCTGTGATCAAACAGTGTTGATTAGTTAAGATTGGCCAGATAAATCACATGGTATTATTTCTGTTCTGGCTGTGCACACAAGCAATTCCAACCCAACCACTCGCATGTGTGAATTTAAAGACGTTTACATGAATACAAGAGTACTGAGTGTTTAATATGGCATCAGTCCTCAATATGTGCAGCTATAGCTCCTTCTAGAAGCAACTTAAAAATATTCCCAGACTAAAACAAACAAAATCCTATCATCCCAACTCAATGCTCAGAATTCCTACTACAGCAATGTTGGTATTAATTTCTGGTGCAAATAATGATCACGTCCACAGTGACAAGTATGTCAAAATCTGGAAAAGGAATGGTGCAGCAGATGTGGAATGTCAGCAACGTTGTTGGATATATAATTAATTAGTGGGGTAATGAGAACATTTTTGGGGGCTCAGAGGCCTACACAGATTAGTAAACTGAGAGGTCTGTCTGTCTGTCTACTTCTCCAACCTACTTGATTTTGTCAGGTTCTCTCACTGTCTTTGCTTTAGAAATCCTTGTTCAAATAAACAATTAAATGATCACATGAAATTCCATGGGATACACATTAATGCATGTGAAGATAATAAAAACTAAAAAGTGCCTGTAAATTCTGCCCTTTACCTGCGCACTCAAAGCAAAAATTTTCTTGATATCAAAGAATTCTGCATACTTAACAAACTTATAGTATGCAATAGAACAGGGGTAGGCAACCTATGGCGAGCTGATTTTCAGTGGCACTCACACTGCCTGGGTCCTGGCCACCGGTCTGGGGGGCTCTGCATTTTAATTTAATTTTAAATGAAGCTTCTTAAACATTTTTAAAACCTTATTTACATACAATAGTTTAGTTATATATTCTAGACTTATAGGAAGAGACCCTCTAAAAATGTTAAAATATATTACTGGCACACAAAACCTTAAATCAGAGTGAATAAATGAAGACTTGGCACATCACTTCTGAAAGGTTGCCGACCCCTGTAATAGAACGACGTAGTGGGAATCAGAGAAGAGAATGTTGTTCTAATGCTATGGGAATATTATACTTGCCTGAATTAACAGTTTTAATTTATTAAAATACAGTATCTAGATTTTTTTTTACTATATTGATGCTTTGATTTGTCTTGTTAAATTCACAGAGAATAGTCCTTCATTTGATATAAACCACTCTACATTACAGTATATAGGCAGGGCTAATAGCACACCCTATTATTAAGGTTGCCCAATACTCTCCATTATAAGACTCTCTTTTCAGTTGCCTATAGCTTTGTAAGACTTTAACTGTTTGGGCTGAAATTTTACATGCCAGATGTTTGCATCTGGCAGAGTTTTCTCTGAAAAATTTCAGCCAAAATTATTCAGAGACGTCCAAGAATGAGGCTAGGGAAAACTACATTGTTTTGCTCATGTAAAAAAATTTTGGTGACTTTTTCTTTGAAAAGCTCAAGTACTCCCATGCACTGGAGCAGGAAGTTAAAATGTAGCAGGGGATGACCTTTGTGGAAGAGCTGTCTTTTGCCATTCCTGTGAAAATCCACCTCTATTTGGTCAACTTATAAGTAGGGCCCTTCCAAATATACAGTCCACTTTGGTCAATTTCACACTCATAGGATTTTACAATTAGTAAATTTCATGATTTCAGCTATTTAAATCTGAAATTTCACGGTGTTGTCATTTTAGGGGTCCTGACCCATAAAGGAGTTGTGTGTGTGTGTGTGTGTGTGCAAGCTTATTGTAGGGGTGCTTGCAGTACTGCTACCCTTATCTGCGCTGCTGCTGGCAGCGGTGCTGCCTTCAGAGCTGGGCAGTTGGAGAGCAATGGCTGCTGACCGGGAGCCCCATTCTGAAGGCAGAGAGGCCGCCAGCAGCACCACAGAAGTAAGGATGGCATGGTACAGTATTGCCATCCTTATTTCTGCACTGCTACTGGCGAACCACTGCCTTCGGAGCTGGGTGCCCAGCTGACTGCCGCTGCTCTCCAGCAGCCCAGATCTGAAGGCAGCACAGAAGTAAGGGTGGCAATGCTGCAACCCCCCCCCCATAACCTTGTGACCCCCACCTCCCCCGCAGCTCCCTTTTGGTCAGGACCCCCAATTTGAGAAATGTTGATCTCCCCTGTGAAATCTGTATAGTACAGAGTAAAAGCACACAAAAGACCAGATTTCATGGTCCGTGATATGTTTTTCATGGCTGTGAATTTGGTAGGGCCCTACTTATCAGCCTTTGAAAAATCAGTGTGCACATGCTCAGTAAAGACATCTTAGATTTTAACAGCTATATTCCCCAAAGATTCTGTCCATATGGCGCAGGACTTTCCTTGCAATTGCAGTTTTGGGCTGCTGCAGACCATGCTTGGTCTGGGCACCTGGACTGGGAACATGGAGACTGCCTGTCCTGTGCTCTCCATGACCCCCCCCCCCCCCGCCAAGCTCAGGCAGCCTGTAGGAAGAAGCTGCTTGAGTCAAATGCAGAGGGGACAAGAGCCGGACATGGGTGGGTGGGGAATAGATTGGGACAAAGAGCCTGGGAAGGAGATGGGGTGGAAGCTGGGACTGTGAAAAATAGTATGTGTTAATGTAAATTAAAGACTGTATCATAATGCTTACACACATGGGGGATGAATTTAGGTTGTAAGGTAACTGTAATTTTGGTATTTCCTAACTTTTGAGTGCCTGACCTTGCAACCTTAATAATGTGTAATGGAGGGATTTTTGTGTGTAATTATTTAACTTCAGATGCTTTTACTGATGCTTGAATGTCTAAGGTTTGACAGTTCGTGATTTTTATTTTGCTTTAGATTATAGGTTGCCAAGTCAGGAGAGAGCCATTGGATTCTACTGAACGATATACTCGTTGGATCAATAATCTGACACCTGGACAACTTCTTACACAGGTATTCTTGTTTCAATTGTGATTCAATCTGTGATGCTAAAGCAGTAGTCAGAGAGGCTTGTTTAGTTATGTTTTCCCATTCACTAATCATACTTGGTGCTGATCAGAGTTGTTCTTTGAGAAACTAAAGGAAAAAATACTTTTAAAAACTCCACCAGATATTTGACTGAATGTAAATAATAGAAATATATTATTAAATCTCTTTTAATATACCCATTTAAAGTATAATATTAGTGCCTGTAATTGGAAAAAATGCCTTTTGGAGCATATGGTTATTGCATAGAATCATA